ATGACAATCAATGTCCAAATGCTTCGTTCGTTCATGGAAAACTGGGTTGGCAGAGATATGTAAAGCTGCCTTGTTATCACACCAAAGAGAGATAGGAGTAGAAAAGGGCAAACCTAAGATCATTTGCCAAGTAAGTGAGCCACTGCAATTCACAAACTGTTGAAGCCATGCATCTGTACTCCGCTTCAGAGGATGATCTTGACACAGTCCTTTGCTTTTTGGTTTTCCAAGAGATCAATGCTTGCCCCAAGAAAATACAATAACCTGTCAATGACTGGCGAGTGATAGCACATCCCCCCCAGTCTGCATCACAAAATGCTTCCAACTGCATAGAAGTCTTGTCTGCATAGAAAAGTCCCAGTGTTGGTGTTCCCTTCAAATATCTGAGCAAGTGCATACCTGCTGATATAGCCACACTGGCTCATAACGGTTCATATCATCACGGTTCGAAACTATCAAGTCGACTTCAACACAGTCGACTCTGCCAGTAAGGTTCCACGATACTCAGTCAAGAATCCCAGCTCTCAACCGAGTCGACGTACACCTGTCGACTAGAATAAGTCAATTTCTGGCAAGACAACGGTCAGACGTATCAGGGTCCACTAACGGTTGAATGCGATCCAGTCGACTCGACTCAATATCTTAGGTCGACTGAAGGAGTCTTGCAGTTCGTGGTTCTCGATAGCTGTGACACACCTCAGCGTATTGAGGGAGAGTTAAGGATAAGAAGGAAGCTAAGGAAGGATCTAGATGCTGACTAGGAAGTAGGCAGAATACGAACCGACCGGGGTATTCTGGACATTTCCAGTAAGTCGGCCGGGGCACTTTGGGGACTTCAGGTAAATGTTGCACTTCTATATAAAGGACTGAGGTAATCCCAAAACCCTAACTCCCATTCATTCCATATTCTTTTCATTACTGCTGCTGCTCTCAGAGCAGCTCCCTTCATCTCTTTCATATATTGACTTGAGCGTCGGAGGCTCTACGCCGGAAACCCCTCCGGCGTTGAGTTCTTGCAGGTGTTCTTGCGGCTCAACAACGGTTTGAACGCCATCATATCAGATCTAAGCTCATTCGCACCGGTTCATCCCAGATCTGAACGTTTTCCCATTGGACCATTCCAGATCTGAGAAGAGACCCATCATTTTGGCGTCGTCTGTGGGGAGTTCTTGAATGAAGTAAGAGCTTTACACCTAGTTTGGATCTATTTCCGATGGCTGACAAGGAAGGACCGCAGAAAAACTTGAACGAAGATTTCAGGGCGGCATGGACTGACAAGCGACCTCCGCCGATCCCCAACCCCAGACCACCGCTCCAAGTATTCGGTTTCCCACCGTTTGGGGCACACGCGCCATCAGGAGGGCGTATGGGGGAAGAAACGCCTATCACCCCACCAGGAGTCAAGATCCCAGTGCTCACTCAAGGGGAGACCAGTCACCTGAGGAGCACGAGCGGAGAAGTCAACGGTTGTGAGTCAATCGAGACCCTCCTAAGTCTGGGAAAGCAGCCTGGACCGCTCGAGCCAGGACAAAGACCGCTGCCCCAAGGCGAGGAGCAAATGCTGACCATAACATGGGGCGAGATGCAGAGGATGATTGCCAAAGCTGTGGCTGCCCAAATCAAACAAATACCAGTCGAACAACCCAGGGTGGAGCAACCCCGAATCGAGCAAACTAGGATCGAACAACCTCAAAATGAGCAGCAACCTCCTGAACGCGAACAACAGGCACAATCACATGAAAGGCAGAACAGGAGGGTAGACGAGGAGGAGTCCTCTGTCAGAACCGTCAATCCACAAGCCAGAAACGACACGCTGGA